GCTGCACTTCTCACCACCACCTCCTGACACCCGGCCTCTCTTCTTCCTCTTGTTATCACTACAGCCGCTCTGCTCTGCGCTCGTATATTGTTCTGAGAGCCGCCTGACCCCGATATCACTCTGCCACTGTTGCAGTTCCTGGCCTGCACTTCAAATGTTCTCACGAGGCAAAGTAGTGCGAGAAGAGCCGGTGTGTTTAGTGTGGCGCCTAAGAGAAGCTCTCCGCATCTCCTTGCACTTTGGCTAGTACACAACTCGCACCTTCACTCACTCAAACTGTAACATTAACCCAAGTTATGGAGGTGCAGCAGTGGCGGGGGAGGACACGTCATGCTCTATGATATAGTTAGATGCAATTTATGTCAATATCAGAGAGGGAAGGTCACACACACAGTGGGAAGGTCACACACAGAGTGGGAAGGTCACACACAGAGTGGGAAGGTCACACACAAAGTGGGTAGGTCACACACAGAGTGGGAAAGGGGGGTCCACTCATTATCAAAATATTTTGTTGTCACAGGTGCACGTACAGATGAAGGGGAAAACTAATGTTGCTCCAGACATAGGCCACAGGGACTAGCTCCAGACACAGGCCACAGGGACTAGCTCCAGACACAGGCCACAGGGACTAGCTCCAGACACAGGCCACAGGGACTAGCTCCAGACACAGGCCACAGGGACTAGCTCCAGACACAGGCCACAGGGACTAGCTCCAGACACAGGCCACAGGGACTAGCTCCAGACACAGGCCACAGGGACTAGCTCCAGACACAGGCCACAGGGACTAGCTCCAGACACAGGCCACAGGGACTAGCTCCAGACACAGGCCACAGGGACTAGCTCCAGACACAGGCCACAGGGACTAGCTCCAGACACAGGCCACAGGGACTAGCTCCAGACACAGGCCACAGGGACTAGCTCCAGACACAGGCCACAGGGACTAGCTCCAGACACAGGCCACAGGGACTAGCTCCAGACACAGGCCACAGGGACTAGCTCCAGACACAGGCCACAGGGACTAGCTCCAGACACAGGCCACAGGGACTAGCTCCAGACACAGGCCACAGGGACTAGCTCCAGACACAGGCCACAGGGACTAGCTCCAGACACAGGCCACAGGGACTAGCTCCAGACACAGGCCACAGGGACTAGCTCCAGACACAGGCCACAGGGACTAGCTCCAGACACAAGCCACAGGGACTAACTCCAGACACACACCATTGGGAAGGTTGCAGCAGATATCAACACAGGTATCAAGAAAGTCTCCAAAGCCTTAAATTAAAATATCAAAATGCATTGTTTTGTAAGATCACATGTTAAATATTCTTGACGCAGAGTCAAGTCTCTGACTCTCTGTTTCAGATTCTTAACAGAATTGAAAGAAAGATATTCTGAAAGGTCAACAGTGACGAGGAAGTCACTGAACTACAAACATCAACAGAGACGAGGAAGTGACCTTGAACCTAGAACAGGAATATGATGTTAAGGTCCTCAGAATATGATGTTAAGGTCCTAAGAATAAGGATTAAGAGAAGCAAACTTTTAGGGACACAGCCCTACTTTAGGCGACTTAAAAAATATATGTTATCAGCTTGTCTTAACACCTGCTAGGACCAGGTGTTGGGACCCGGTGTTGGGACCTGGTGTTGGGACCTGGTGTTGGGACCAAGTGTTGGGACCTGGTGTTGGGACCTGGTGTTGGGACCAAGTGTTGGGACCAAGTGTTGGGACCTGGTGTTGGGACCAGGTGTTGGGACCTATTGTTGGGACCTGGTGTTGGGACCAGGTGTTGGGACCAGGTGTTGGGACCTGGTGTTGGGACCTGGTGTTGGGACCAAGTGTTGGGACCTGGTGTTGGGACCAAGTGTTGGGACCTGGTGTTGGAACCAGGTGTTGGGACCTATTGTTGGGACCTGGTGTTGGGACCAGGTGTTGGGACCTGGTGTTGGGACCAGGTGTTGGGACCTGGTGTTGGGACCAGGTGTTGGGACCTGGTGTTGGGACCAGGTGTTGGGACCTGGTGGCAGCAGTATGGTTGAGGGGGTGGGAGTGGTATAGCAACAAGGCCGGGAGCAGCAAGATAAGTGTAGCAGCAGCAGCAGTGTGTGGTGTGGTACACCCTCAACACTGGGCCTGGCGTCCTCTCTACACTGGACGGCATCTAGTCTACACCAGTTGATTGGAGGCTTAAGAGGCGGGTCCCAACAGGTAGTGAACTCACACTGTTGTCACTCTGAGTAAGCTGAACAGTTTACCTTAAAAGCGGGTTTAATTAATGGGGCAATAATACATACGACGTAAAGGATCATTTATCAAGTATGTACATAATTTCTAGATTTACTGAACCAAATTTTGGAATCACTTTTCGGTAATGAATGTAAGGACAAAAGTAGCCGCCAGGGTCAGCAGGACGTAACTAGTTCATAGACCATCTCCAGCAGCAATGAAATATCTCTCCTTGCCTATGTTACTAAACAAATTACTTAAAGTTCATTGTTTGCAAATGAGCAGCACCTATGCGGCGCAGCTGACGAAACTATCTCAGTAGGCTATGTATACAGCGCCCAGTTCACGTGTATAAATAACATATCCTGGTGTATGGGGTGACAGTCACATGTGATTGGAAGGTGTGGAGGAGGCGGGTGTGGGGGGACGCACCCTGGGAGGCGACACTGTGGGGAGGGACAGACCGCGCGTGCGTACACTCCACCGCTCTGACACACACTGGCGCTGGCTGGCGCTTCCTCCCATGTTGCTGTCTTGGCCCCGCCCACTGACCCACACACTCCCCGCCCACTGACCCACACACTCCCCGCCCACTGACCCACACACTCCCCGCCCACTGACCCCCACTCCCCGCTAACACTGTAAACAAAATGATCTGGTCCTGGGCGCTTGTGTCCCCAGGTGGCGGCTCCCTCCTCTAGTGCCGACAATGAATATTGATTGATTATTTTTATTGTCTAGAGAGATTATTATGATAAAGTTGGATTATAAGATAAATAGATATAGGATTTTATGATTACAGGTTGTACAGACTGTGCAAATTGATCCTTTATTATGGATTTGAAAATATGTCACCGGAAGCTATAATTTAGTTCCAACAGAATTTCAGTTAATTTTGTTCTTATTGAACCTTCTAGATCCTTGAGATTCTAGACGTACTTTTTTGACCTAGTATTTAAATGCACCCGGAAACTTATGCTTGATACCTAATCTTTGTAGGGATACAAGCACATTTTGGGTGACTTTAGTAAGTGTAGTTTACACTTACTCTACACTCTACAAGTGTAAACTGTAGTGTAGAATTGAGTAAGTGTAGAGTACCGAATACAGTGAATTACTGGAGTCAAGTGAGGTTCTGGGATCTCTGTTGGAGCAGTGACATTGGTCACTATGACTTGTGGCTTTTGTTCAGGCTACTGGTCACTGACTAGCCACTGAGGCCCATGGAACCATATTTCGGCTTTAGTTAATTGTTTTAAAGTCAGAGCTCTGGATAGATAATCAGCTGACTCTTCCTTGCTCAGAACATACAAAAGTTAGTATCCAGCTGATAACTTTGATTTCTTGCAGCAACTCATGTAGGGCATTTTGCTGTTATTGTTGCATACCCTTTGCAACACCGCTTTATTATCCGACCACACCACAGTTGGATGTGGATGTTTATCAATGTTTTGGTCAGGTAATGAGTCTGCATCACCTCTAATAGTAAGGCTGTTAATTTTAGTTGTGGCAAGGACCATTTCTTTATCGGTGCCACTCTTGCTTTGGAGGTTATCTTGAGATGATTTCGGGACTTTAGTGTCCCCGCGGCCCGGTCCTCGATCAGGCTTCCACCCCCAGGAAGCAGCCCGTGACAGCTGACTAACACCCAGGTACCTATTTTACTGCTAGGTAACAGGGGCATAGGGTGAAAGAAACTCTGCCCATTGTTTCTCGCCGGCGCCTGGGATCGAACCCAGGACCACAGGATCACAAGTCCAGCGTGCTGTCCGCTCGGCTCCCTGGTAAGCAAAGTTGCTTGTTCATTGGTGACCAAATAGGCTTCCTCAGGAGCTTCACAAAACACATGTAGACTAATTTGTTGTTAATCAGTTGTAGTTGACCGAGGGAACTTAATTGTTTCTAGGGAATTAAAATCATTCACTAACCCTTTCCATTTTTCTTGGAGTTCAGGTGTCAGAGGATCATCCCAGGCTAGTGTCTCCTGCTAGCATTCCTGCATCAATAGTTTTCCTTTAATCGATATTGGACTTAATAGTCCAAAGGGGTCGAAAGGTTTGCTAACTTATAAGAGCAGTTTCCTCAAGGTTAAGTTATTGATTTCAGTATCTACTGATTTAATAATGTTTTCACCTAGTTGTGCTTGCGGGGGTTGAACTCTGGCTCTTTGGTCCCGCCTCTCAACCGTCAATCAACAGGTGTACAGATTCCTGAGCCTATCGGGCTCTATCATATCTACACTTGAAACTGTGTATGGAGTCAGCCTCCACCACATCACTTCCTAATGCATTCCATTTGTCAACCACTCTGACACTGAAAAGTTCTTTCTAATATCTCTGTGGCTCATTTGGGCACTCGGTTTCCACCTGTGCCCCCTTGTGCGTGTGCACCTTGTGTTAAATAGCCTGTTTTTATCTACCCTATCAATTCCCTTCAGAATCTTGAACGTGGTGGTCATGTCCCCCCCTAACTCTTCTGTCTTCCAGCGAAGTGAGGTTTAATTCCCGTAGCCTCTCCTCGTAGCTCATACCTCTCAGCTCGGATACTAGTCTAGTGGCAAACCTTTCAACCTTTTCCAGTTTAGTCTTATCCTTGACTAGATATGGACTTCATGCTGGGGCTGCATGATTGTCTTCTAGGATTGGCCTGTTTGTGTGAGTGTGTGTGTGTGTTTGTCCAGGATGACTGGCCAGTCATTAGTCCCCACACACAGTGGTGTGTGTGTGTGTGTGTGTTTTGCAGAAAGTCTCAATTAAGAACAAAGAAACAATCAATGTACGAATTCATTTTATTGCAGCTACATGCATTACATATATGTGTGTTCATGGTCTATATACATAATTATAGGGTACTAATTATAAGGTAATAATTATAGCGTAATAATTATAGGGTAATAGGTATTAATAATTATTGGGTAGTCATACCCAAGTCAGATATCAACAGCACTGGCGAGGCCATCCCAAATAAACAAAACATATCTCTAAGTTATGCACAAAACATTAACTATAAATGGCTTTCTCTTCATACATATCTAAACATTGCTGAGATGATCTCAATATCTATGACTAGAGGCTGAGCTATTGATCAAAGATTCGTAAAGAAATATTAAAACAATTTTTCTCAGACAAATGCAGAAATAAAGGAAGAATCTGTCCTGAGGTGGAACTTGTTAGAGAGCTTATCAGCGAGGTGGTACCCGTAGGCGAGCTCATAGGGCGCCTTGGTCCTCAGGGCCAGGTTACCGCCATAGGAATCTTCGTTCAAGTATAAGTTAGCAGACATCTTAGACTCAATGCCATGTTGGAAGTCTGCAGCTAGTCCGTACTTGCGGTTAGCCAGTGTAAGGACGGCTCTTGGTGCAAACTTATCGAGGGGAATATATAGCTCGGCCTCAATATTTTCCAGAGTTTGAACAGAAGTTTCAATCTTAAGATTACCCTTGATGACACTGTTGATATTGCTGAACTGAGTATTAACAGAGAAACTGATTGGTTTATCTATAGACAAAATTATGTTAGTTACTTCATCCTTCATGTACTGGGCAACGAAGTTCATCTTTCTGTAGCCCTTGAAGGGAGTAGTAATCTTCAAATTGATTTTAATGGCCTTAGAAGACGGAATTTTCAAGTTAAGAACACCAGAAATATTTTTATCAGAATTCATTATGGCCGCTTTCAGCTGCATATTTGTCTGCATGTTTCCAGTAAGAGCAGCTTCCGCTCTGACCAATCCTGTGGGGATATAAGGAGACTTGGCCTCTGCCACTAAGCTTTGATTGTCGTTGTCGAAGGTGAAATTGAAGGTGTTGATATTCTCAGAGAAATTGGCTGCCACTTCCAACTGAATCTTATTTCCAAACTGTAAAGAAGCTTGGAGAGTAGCTTTGTTGATATTTTTAAATGGTGTTTCGATAATCAACAAGAATCCGCCTCCATTTGCTGACATAGATGTAGTCGCTTGCACTGCATGCCGGACATCTCCAACATCCAACTGTGCTTTAACCATTCTCTGTTTCCTATTGCCACTAAGGATGCCACTGAAGGTGTAGGTGTTTTCAAGAAGTGGAGAGACGAGCTCAGCGGTCGCCAGCCAGTCGAAAGGTGTCTTGCGAGTGACACGCCAAGTCACCTTAGCCTTATGGATGCCTGTGGGAGTCTCAAGTGTAAGCGCAGCTGTGGTAGCAATATATTCGAAGTTGACAGTTAGCTTCTGGAAGATTGGGGCATCGATTTTAAGAGTGGCACGGAGGCCAGTCGTGGCGTCTAACTCGAAGTACATGGAGTAGGTTTCCGACGTTATAAAGGTCACATCAAAGGAAACTTCCTTGGAAGAAGTACCTGGAATTGAAATGTCGAAGTTCAGTTTCCTTGTTCCGTCAATCAGAGTAGATTCCAACTCTATTCCTCCCTGAATGCGATTGTTGACTACGCTGAACTCTCCGTGAATATTGTGAGTTTGACCAGCAAGAGTAGTGAGAAGAGAGCCCTCCATGGCTTCCAGTGATAGATACTTAGCTTCAACAGACATCTGGCGTGGAATACCTCTAATCAAGGAGTCCAAGGTAAATTTGAAGGTAGACTCACTCATGATGTACTCAGCCGTCAGTTTATCATTACAGAGGTTTAGTTCCATTTTTTTGTGAGCAGAATCCAAACCTTCCAAGGTGAAGTTCATTTTTATTCCACCTTCGGATTTGATTGAATTAAGATTAAGACTGGCTGTGAGTGCTTGAGGAGAGAGTTGATACTTGACCTGCAGCACGTGAATGTCAGGCTCGACCATTTTCAGGTCAGCTTCGAAGAATGACAAACGTTCCATTTTAATTTTTCCATTAATGACGACACTTGAGAGAGCATGGAAAGGTGTATATATTTCTACGGTACCTTGGTATCCTTGGCTGAGCGACGCACCGACTAGATTGCTCTTCACAGTGAACTGCTCACCCGCCACATCTACTGTAACATAGCCATCGATTTTATCGTTCAGGTTCATGTTGAATTTTCCAGTTAGTTTTGGTGTGGAGCAAGATGGTAGGAACACTTCAGCATGGGCCATGATGTTTGAGTTCACATTAGACAGTGTAAACAAACCTCCCATTTTCTCCATACAACGGAACGGCGTCTGAATAATAAGCTTGCCTTCGGAGTACTGCTGGCCCTCAGACTGGAAGAGGGAATCTATTAGGAACCTGGTACCAAAAATATCTCCTTCTAACATTGCTCCTCGCTTAATACCCTCGCCCATCAAGCCACCTCGGAGTTTGACATTGTAATCATCGAGTCCAATTTCTGTGAAGAAGCTGTCAGAGGCAATGGAGCGTCTGGCCCGGAGACTGTGTTCGCCTGTGTATGGGGAGTCCAGACGGGCCTTTACTCCCTCCGAGTTGTAAGTGAACTCAGCCTCCACTTCCTGGCCATCTTCACCCAGCTCAATTTCAACCTTAACAACGACCTCATCATCACTTTGGAATCCATATTCAACATCGAATTTAACTCCTTCATATCCATAGTTAGGGATATCAGCAGAGCCACTAAATCCAGACCTAAAGTTGTCCTTGCCCTTGATGGAGAAAGTGACCTCCTGTCCTTCACCGTATCCCAGAGTCACAATGCGTTCCTCACCTTTGCGTCCTATGCCGAACACTAGCGCCGGCAGAGGCGTCAGTGTGCTCTCAATTTTACTCTTGAAGTAATAGTCATGATTTTCGTGCCTCTCAAAGTGGTTGTCAATTTTAAACTCGAACTCGTCAACTATTATTTCGAAGACGCCATCACGAGCTTCAGTACTTAATTCAGAGTTCAGCTTCAGATGGAACTTCTTCATTATTAACAAGGTTGACTCTCCGTCAATTTCTAAATATATCCTCTTATTGTTGCGGAAGCCTTGCATATTAAAACTGATTTTGAAAGTTTCAAATTCTAGTTTAAGACTTGCTAGTTTCTTAGGCTCGGTTCCTCCTCCAGCAAGGAATTCCTCTACGTCATATGCGGCAGCTATTCTGATGGCTTCCCCTCCTGTACCTGTGAAGGTTATGTCGAAGTCTGATTTACCGCCTTGGACATCCGCTACACCTTCGAAACTGTACTCGACTTCATTTCTTTTATAGTTTACTTGAGCTTGACCTTTATTCCAACTTCCATTGATGTTAACATTCTTCACTAGGTCAAAGGGTGTTGTAAGACTCAATGCAAAATCTCCCTTCCTCTTAGATTTCCTGTTCAAGGTAAAGTTTAGATCAACTTTCTTTTCACCACGTTCATATTTTAGAGTTACCACTTTGTCTTTACCCCCAAGACTATATGTTAATTCGCCCTCTATTGCTTTAAAGTTTTCGAATGGTGTTGCAATTTTTGATGACACTGAATTCTTGCCGACATCAAGTTCAAATGTTACTGCCTTCTCATTCCATTCAAGGCTAGTTTTTAAGTGGAAGACATCGGTAAAGTCAACTGTATTGGAAATACGGGCGTGTGAAAGCAATTGAAGTGATGAATCTAGAATGAGCTCACCTTCCATGTGTTCAGCGCTACTTTTTCTGTGCCAGTTAATGTTGACATATTTTTCTTGGTGATCTGGAGTCTTTCGGGAGTACTTAACCTCAGCTTGTGCATCTTGAATGTTGGTAACATCGTACTTAATAGAGAAGTTAATATCTCCAAGATATTTTGACTTCACTTCAATTGTCCCATCAAGAATCTCAAAGTTTTCACTTCTCTTCCAATTAGCTTTCACGAAGGCCTGTCTTCGTCCTATCTTTGCCACAGCTGCGATGGACTTGCTAGTTACTTCTCTAAAGTTATGACTGAGTGTCAACTGAACTTTGCCAAACTCTCCAAGGATTGGGATGTCCCACTCTATTGTGTTGCGAGATCGCTTTGGGCTCAAGTTCGATATATTTATATCAATTTTTGACTCGCGTTCATTTGCTTTTATGTCTGCATTAAACACAAATTTGCCATTAACATCATAGTTTCCAGATACGGAAATCTGTTCATAACCAGGGAAATTTGAGGTTGATGTCCATCTGAAGGTGGCAGATCTTTGAGCGGCATCACGCCGGAACTCCTCCAGGGTGTGGCTCCCATGGTAATCCCCATAGTTATATGATCCTTCTCCAGTCACGGAGCCGTCGGGGCCTTTGTTCCACTTGGCTGTGAATAAAAATTCTTCTGGTTGGAATGGGCCGACCTTGAAGCCTCCCTCGATGTCCACGTGAGCGATGTCGGTGAGAGTACCCTTTAACTTGAGCATTCCGTACCTTGACTCTCGACCAAGCTTCAAGAAGTAGTCCCTGTAAGCGCCATTCCTTTCAAATTTCCATTGAAGGTATATATTTTCATTGCCCTCAGCTGACAGAACAACTGTTGATTCTCGGATTCCCAGTTTGCCATTGGCTTTGTATGCTATGTTACCGATGTTAAAGGTAAGTTCTGTAGAGTCAATATCTTGCACGTCCCAGCTGCCAGAGATATGTTTCCACGGGGCAGCTGACCTGTCCGGGGTTGTAATCTTGATATCATAATCACCCTGAGTTGGTTCACTCAGGTCGATGTTATAAGTTATGTCAAACACGTAAAGCAGACTTGGTGCTGGGTTAACTTCAATTCTTATTGTTTTTGGACTTGTAAGTCTATTCACATCAATTTTTGCTGTTATAGTCCTTGGCTGCTCCCGGAATGTGTTGGTAATGATGGCATTAATCGTTCCTTCCCCGGGTAGGGATCCAGATCCTGACAGCTCAACTTTAAATTCCTTTTCTACTACATCTCCACTGACTTCAATCTGGCGCTTAAAACTTAAATTGAAAATGGAAAAGCCTTCTCTGTGAACATGGAGGACTGAGTGCCTGCCAGGTAGACGCGTATGGGTCTCCAAGTGAAGCTTCTGTTCTGCAGCGTTGGCCTCAAACTCCGTAGTGAAGACATCAATATCATTTATGGTAGTTTTATCGGAGAACTGAACAATGTTTCCAAGTACCAGTTTGTATTCATGGTAGAAATTTCTAACGTTTTCAAATCGAGATGTAAAGACAATTTTGCCAGCGATAGGAGTGAGGTTGACTGTGAGCTCAGTGTTCTGCTGTGGGTTGGGCACCAACAGGTGTGACTCCAAACCGTTTCTTCTCGTGTATTTAAAAATGTAATGGAATTCTGAGCTTGAAGACGAAGCCTCCAATTTAATCTGTCTTTTCTTCAAGCTGTAATTTAATTTGCCCTCAACTGTGCGATAGTTGTCGTAGGGTGTAGTCAGGTTGAGGGTGAACTCCCCCTCCACGTCATGTCGTCCTTGTATAGAGAGGGTGACCTTTTCCTCATTAACGGCACCGCTGACATAGCCGTGCAGGGCGTCCTGGTCAAGCCTGCCGGTGAGGGCCAGGAACTCCCAGCCTTGTAGTTCACTTTTTATCTCCAAACTAAAAGCTCGGCTTCTGCCCTCCTTCTCTAGTGAGACCGTCACGTAGTTGTTGTTTCTCTTCCACTCCCCTCTGTATGAATTGTCATTAACCTTTGTTATTTCCCAAGTAATTTCTTCTGCTCTCGCAAATGGAGTTTTGAGGTGGAGCTTGGCCGAGTTGAAGTTGGTCAGCAGCGAGGCTTCTCCAGCGTCATTAATCATTTTGAATTCAAGAGATCTCTTGGCGCGATTCAGGGAACCGAACATGTTAAAGTTCTTTAGACCAGTGAAGGGAGTTTTCAGGCTGAAGTCCATTGTGCTTCCAATCAGCTTTCCAGAAATAGCAATGGCCTTTACATTTCCATCTTTCTCAAGTGAAATCTCCAGTATCTTATCATCCTGAGAAAAATCAACTTTAACTTCGAATTTGGCATCAGTCCATCCAGGCAGCGGAGACATGAGACTGCACTTGAAATAAGCAATTTTATCTTCGATGTAGGCGCTTGTTGCAAAGTAGTAGGTGTCTTCACCGAGGACCATGTGCGCTGACAGCAACTCGTCCTTGTTGTTGATATCGTATTTAACCTGGAAGGACATGTTATGGAAGCCCAGGATGGGCGTGGTGGCCTGAAGACTGATGCTGGAGGCTTGAGGAGAGACACTCAGTCCTCCATTAAGTATGTAATTGTTCTCATTGTAGACGATAGTCAGTGCTGCTTCCTTTTCATATGAAATCCATTTGTAAGAAGCAGAAGCAGACACAAACTTTAGTACCTCAAATGGTGTTGCCAGGTCGAAGGACATGTTGTCAATAGCATACGATACGTTCATAGAGAAGTTGTTAGAACCGAATTTAATCATGCCCTTGACAGTCTTTGTGGCCACATTGATGGTTCCCTCAACAGCAACTGTATCAAATTCTTCAAAGGGAGTCTGGAACTTTATTATAAAGCTGTCTGAATCATACTGACCATATGTCGAGAAAATCCACTCTTTAGAATTGTGATTAATTTTGATGCTGGCTTCCATTTTCCTGTTATTCTTGTTCACAGACAATGTATAGTCGCCACCGAGAACCTCGAATCCTTCAAAAGGTGTTTTTATTTTTAGTGAACCACTTTCAAGATTATAACTTGCGTCAATTCTGAAAATCTTAGAGAAGTTGTCTTTCCTAATAGAAATTTCAGCAGATTTTCTATCAGATATGATGTCATAATTGATGTCAATGATGATCTTACTCCAGTCACTGACGGGGGTATCAACGGCGACAAATAACGTCGATTTGAAGGGGGTAAAACTTGCGTGAGTATTGAATTTGAAGACGTCATTGTTCCTCTCAAAGTGGACTAAACTCTGGACGCCATCGCCAAGAAGCTCATAGTTGGCATTGAGCACAACATTACTGATCACTGGGATGGGAGATGAGAGGCGGAGGGCGACGCTGGTCGTATCTAGCCTGGCCGCCGCCTGGAAACTGTACGTCTGACTGTTCTTAACAAAGGCAGCCATGATGTTGTGCTCACCGCCGGTGGCTGTGTAGTCACCGTTCATTCTCATAACTTCGAAACCCTCAAATGGAGTGACAGCATTTATATTGAATTCATTGTCATTGACAGCCATGGCTATATAGAAGTGCTGCTTTATATTTTCTTCATTCTTTAAGTTCATCTCGATGGTCTTAACATCCCCTGTAAAATCATAACTGGCATAAAGCTCGAAGTCAGAGTAACCAGGAATAGGGGAGCGTGTTATTACCTTCAGGAATCCTGTTTTGTAAATTAACTGACCGGTGAATTCAGCTGAGTAAGTGATGTCATTCCTCAGGAAAGTTAGGCTGAAAGTCTTCTCTATGTCAACCATGTTTGCGTCCATGGTCAGCTGAATGTTGGTAGCATCTGGGATTGGTGTCTTGATGTTGATATTCAGTTTGGGCTTTTGGCTGTTGAACATAACGTCACCATTAACTTCATACTGCTCAGACCCCTTATCGAATTCCAGGTTGCCTGCGAGGTGGTTGTTGTTGACGTTGTAAGAGCCTTTCAGTACAACTTTCTCCCAGCCGGTAACTGGCGTCGTCACCTGGCCAGTGATAGCGTTTTGGGCTACAGAAAGTTTTCCTTCAATGGTATTAACGACATCTTCCTTGTTGTGGGTAAAGGCGACGGTGTAAGGCATGATAGTGAAGTCGAAGCTGCCCTTGACAGATACGTGGGTCCAGCCTGGAAGGGGCGTAATGATGGTGGCCTCGGCCCGACCCTTCAGCATGCTCTCGGCAGTCGCCTCCACCTGCCACTTGTAGTCAATGTCATTGTGGTAAACCTTTACTTTGGCGGTCTTCACCGAGTCTTTCATATTCCACCGGGCTTCTCCGCCAATAGTTTTCACAGCTTCAAATGGAGTGATTATATCCAGTTTCATTTCCGGAGTAAATGGATCAGAAACTCTTATGTTACCCTTTAGAGAGAGTTCTTCTGTACCGAAACTGGACTTGAATTCAACTTTTTTTGTCTCATTATGGAAGTTATAGCTTGTGTTAACTGTAATGGACTCGTAATTAGTGTATGGAGTGGTGATAGTGATTTCAATCTTGCCCTTCCTATGCCTAATGTGCATAGTTCCATTTATCTCTATTCTGCGGTTATTTCTGGAGATAAAAGCGTTGATAGCAGATTCGGAGGCAAAGAATGAAGCATTAAGAGTCTCCCAGTCCCTGATAGGAGTTGTTCCTTCGAAGACTAAAGTTTCTCCCTCAAGCTTTCCAATGAGACTGATTTCCTGGTTGCCATTAGTAAGCTTGACATGGATCTTTTTCTGGGTTTCAAAGTCGTACATGATGTAAGTAGCCATGTTCAAAGTACTTAATGGAGACTGGAACGTAATTTCCATGTTAGCGTGTGTGTACTGATAGAACCATTTGCTCTCTAGAGAGCCCCTTTGTCCATTAATGTCCAAGCTCACGAGGAACTCACTCGTGCTAATTTTGCTCAGGACTGCATAGACGTTTGACTCTTTCTTTAGCACCGCATTCATAGTGAAGGGCAGAGCTGTGGCTTGATACTGCCCACTGAACTCCAGCATGCGGGCCCCCTCAACTGGAAGTTTCGTCACGAGAGACCACTTTGCATTTCTCATGTGTCCAGAAAAGGCTCCGGTTATTTCATACTTATGATCAGTTGTTACAACAATACGTACTCTCTTCTCAGGGGAGATGACGTCATATGATGCTTCAACTGAGATTGGCGCTTCTAGATAGGTAGACTGAATGTCTATCTGGCCATCCAACCTGCCTCTCTCCCAGTTTCCACTTGCGTTAATGGTGGTTTTGTTGGCTCCCCGAGTGAGGATAAGAGTAACTGGCGTCCGTGTCTTGAATTCCAAGTTAAACTTACACCCCAAAGGTTGCCAGAAAGGAGTTGTTAATGTAGCTTCAGTGTAGAAGGAGTAAATGTCAAACTTAGTCATTGTTGCAATTTCAATAATACTTCCTGGCTTGTATTCAATTCTGAGGGATGGTTTGTATTCAATTCCGTCATCTTCGTAGTGAAGATCGATCTTGACGTTCTCGTAATACTCCCATGGTGATGTTAGGGTGACTTGAGCATCGATTTTACGGGATTCTGCAGAAATTTTGGGGTCAATGGAGGCAGTGAGAATGACACCTCCGTCAGCCCAGGCACAGTCCAGCCGGTGCGAATATACTGTGCCTTCGTGGGACTGTGTGTTACTTATCTTATATATGCCATTAACGTCAAAGGAATTTTCCCAGTTAAGTAAATCAATAAATGTAATAATATGAACGATGTTAATAGACTTAGTTCCTTTACTAAACAAAATCTTTGATGTTCTTGTGTTGACTTCCTTAAGGCTTTCAATATTTAGTTTAATATCATCGAGACCATTGATAGTAGAAGAGACTTGTCCTTGAAGGTTGGCCAGGCTCTGTGATGCATCCAAGATGCCCTTGATTGATGCAGTCATCTGCTCACCATTGACAGTAACATCAATGATGGAGTTCATATTCTTGTCTGTCACTTTATGGTTAAACAAGAGCGAAGCCTTGGTGGCCGGGCTGCTGAGTAAGGCGGTCACCTCTACGTCGCTGCTGCTGGTCATGTGGCCTTCCGCGTGCATCTTAACGCTCCCGAAATTAGACCATATTCGCGAGATCTCGAACTGTGAGGTAAAGTGTTGTCCATCATGGCTGTGGGAAAGTGTTGCTGTTATTGGGTACGTGAATGGTGTGATGAATCTCAAGTCTCCTGCGATCGCTGTCGTACTCTCTCTCTTTGTCTTCTCAACATTCATATTAAGAAGTATTTTCTTCTCACCTGCTTTACCTTCGATGACCAGATTCATTTTGATATCACTCAGAGTATATTTGACGTTAAGATTGACCTGCGGAGCAGAGGAGAGAGAAGTGACCGTCTTGAGGACAAGAGTAATGGTCTGAACCTCACCCAGGTTGACCTCACCCTTGAGGGTGATGCCGTAGGTCTCTTCACCGTATTTGGCCTCTAGTTTGGTAGACAAAGCTGAGTTAAGTAGTTCATGGTGTAGAGTAACAAGAACTTCTTCTGTGAAGGGAGACATGAAAGCGGCTCTTGCATCGACGCCGCTGTCAGCGGGAGTCAGCTGGAAGCTGCCTTTCATCTCCTTGTTGTTCCACAGGCCTGCTATGTTGGTACTGATGGTGGCGTCATCCATAGCGTGGTCCACAGTCAAGGACATCCTCTCGAAACTCTCAAAGCTGCTGCTGAATAGAATCTTGGCACTGAGAGCGTTGGTAAACGTTCCGGGCCGCAATTTACCATTGATCGTAAGAACCACTTGTTCAGCGTTCTTCCAGGTCGCAGATACACGACTGTTGATCTCGTGATCCTTGAGAGTGACATTAATCATAAGATCTTGCTTTTCCCACCCGTGGAAAGGCGTGATTACAGTAGTAACGAGAGACATGGTGTCGCCGAGGGAGTAGTGAAGAGAGGCCAGGAGGGTCTGGCGCGGCGCCCACGACGCCTCCAGCTCTAGGCCCTCGTCAACCCGCCGGCATGAGGCCGACACCTCCCGCTCCCCAAACCTGTCACAGAAAATGAAGAACAGACTTGAGAGCGATCCTGTGGATGCATATACATGGGGAAAACAGGTGTGGTCTTCGTCAATGCTTTACTGAGATTACATTAAACTAATTTATTATTTATGGTATAGTCGATATTCTAGTGAAATATAGAAAATCTAAATTTTATAATTTAATAAATAAAGGTAAACAGTAAATGAACCTCACGCAAACCTCTTGCTTCAGCCACTATCAACACATTTTTGAACTTCTTGGAATGTAAAGCATTGCCATGTCTCAGTACTGACTCAACACTGCAGTCGACAGGTTCTTACCTGAAGCCAGCTTTTACTTCTGTAGGAGACAGCTGTCCACTAATCACCAAAGACTGTGTTGGATCAACGTCCTTGTTCCAGTCAGCACTAACAAGCAGTTTGTGTCCCTCGTCAGCTGAAGTAATCTGGAACGTGTGTGTGCAGGAAATTATTTAGACAATTGTACACTGCCCTGTACCTCCCCCGACACCTGTAGTGACCACACCACCACTCTGTACCTCCCCCGACACCTGTAGTGACCACACCACCACCCTGTACCTCCCCCGACACCTGTAGTGACCACACTACCACCCTGTACCTCCCCCGACACCTGTAGTGACCACACCACCACCCTGTACCTCCCCCGACACCTGTAGTGACCACACCACCACCCTGTACCTCCCCCAACACCTGTAGTGACCACACCACCACCCTGTACCTCCCCCAGCACCTGTAGTGACCACACCACCACCCTGTACCTCCCCCAACACCTGTAGTGACCACACCACCACCCTGTACCTCCCCCGACACCTGTAGTGACCACACCACCACCCTGTACCTCCCCCAACACCTGTAGTGACCACAGCACCACCCTGTACCTCCCCCGACACCTGTAGTGACCACACCACCACCCTGTACCTCCCCCGACACCTGTAGTGACCACACCACCACCCTGTACCTCCCCCGACACCTGTAGTCTGCTCACATTCAGCATCTGATTAGAGGAACCTTCTGAACATAAATTAGGGGTTTTCCCTTTCTGTGAGCCAACTGGGACATTGTTAAGTGGACAAATATCCAATTACAGGAACCTGTTGTATATACGCAAGTGTTGTGAATATAATCTCATTATTTCTACGAGGAGTATGTTGCTTGACTTACGTAAGCGTCGAGGAGGACGTGTCTGCCGATGTTGGCGTCGACGAGGATGGAGGTCCGCGTGCTTTCAATCTTCATCGTGTACTTCCTGCCGTTAATATCAGTGTTCAAGTCAACGTTGGCCTTCTCGGAGTCGGCGAATATGCCCGAGCTGAGCTTGGAGGTGTGGCTCGGACACTTGAAGGAACCGTCCATGAGAACATTGAACTTGCCAGGTACAGAGTTGTCTCGTACACTTCCCTCAAGGCTCACGGTGTTCGTCTCTATGTCGTTGATGTTGCCAGTCACCTGGGAACATGTTTACCATACGTAATTGTATTCAAGTATTGCATTCTCGAATAGACAACACATGTCTAAATATGTAAATAATATGTCCAAAAATAAAATTTTTAAGTTATTTAGTATCAGATATCGTGATATATTAACAGTTTAGAAATTGCAATAATGGCTCACCTTAGCGTTATAATGACCGTTAGCGACCTCGTTAACAAGGACTTCAGCTGTAGCCTTCGCGCCTGGAACCTGAGCCATAATACGTCCTTCAATATCAATGTTGTTGCTGTGGCTGAGGTCAAGGGTCAAGGTAGCCTCGTCCTCAGGGCTGACCCTAATCTGGCTCTTGGCGTTCAGATAATTGCGTCCCATCTTAAGGTCGTGTAGGGCCAGATAATCAATGCTATGATAAGGGCAGAGAACTTCAATTTCAACATTGAAATTATAGTTGTTTTCATCGGAGTTATAAGAATAAATTTCTTTAAAATTCCACGTTACGGGTCCTCGGGTTATGGTGCAAATGTTCTCCAGGCGACCAGTGGAAATAATAGATCTGATGTCAATGTCTAAAGCCATGTCTGGGAACTGACTTGGAGTCAGATTAAACTTAAGTGTGTATGTATTGACGTCTTGTGAGGTCTCAGTCTTGATGAGAGCAGAATGGTGGATGGTGTGCTTATCCCCGCGCAGCGTACTGTACTCAACGTCGGCCTTGGAGGACACCAAGTTGCCTTCAGAGACAAGCTGGCCCTTGGCCTTGATGTCGATGGCGGGAGTGTTCAGCGCCACCTCCACATTAGCAGTGTTCTCTACGCCTGTATACGAACCTGCAAATACGGAAGTTTCGCATAATTAATGAAGACGTATTCTAATACATATCATACACATTTGAAAATGCGGTCACATTCCTAATGATTAAAAAGTTGGGTAATATATACTGAGAAGGTCCTATTTAGTTACCTGAGGACCCATAACACCTGATACTCACAAGCTGTTTAGTAAAGGGCTTTTTTTAACACGCTTCTCTTCCAATTAATGTGAGACTGAAAGCTTAAGGAAACTATTGAACAAAATTGGCAAATAAGATGACGGAACAAGCGTCATTAAAAATACAAGACTCTTATGGAGTGGAAGTAATGAAGGAAGATGAGAAGCAAGACGTACCGTGGAGGCTGAGAGGAGACACTGGGAGGCCGGACACGCTCACGTCAGCCACGTACTTGGTGTTACCTACGTCCAACTCCAGAGTTCCTCTAGCATTAAGTATTTCCCTTATTGGAGATATGATAATTAAGTACGGCTCAAACTTCTTTACGTCTTCCCCGGTAACTTGGAGACCAGTCTCCAGTGAGTACTTGTCAGAGTTATCACGCGTCATCTCCAGTTTAATGTGCTTCTTGTTACTTTTCCACACGTACTCCCCGGCGCCTTGAAGAGACATGAAAGGCATCTCAAGATCGAAATTTACATTTTTACCAGATTTGGCAATATTAAGCGCTACTTTGTGATTGGCTTGAGACCCCGGGGTGTCAAATAGGAAAGTGATCTCCTTACTTCCACTGGTGAAGCGGAAGTTGTAGCCGGTCTGTGTGTCTGTCTTCCTCATGTAGAGGTGGAGGGCAGCGGGTCCCGTGAGCGGGAAGCAAGGACTGCTGTCAGAGGTTGAGGTATAGCTCAACTCGCCGCACATCTCAAGTCCACCAATTATCCTCCTACACCCTTCATACTTTACTTCGTCTTTTCCTTCCTTTCGGATCTCTTTATCGTCTTCCAGGTAGAAGAATTTGGTGCTAACATCAATCACTTCTACTTTATCTTTAGGTGTGTTAAAAGCAATATCAACCAGCTTGCCTCCATCGATCTGAAGTTTACCATCGAGGAAGGTGGAGGTGTGCAGGGTGGAGGAGATCTTGAGCCCCGTGCGAGTCACGTGGGCATCAACAAGCATCATACCATCCATCTGTACTGCTGCAGAAGGCTGCACGCGACCCTCTATGTTAATATTCTGCAAACTTTGAGCCTTAAAATTGCCATTCATTCTCAAGGCAAGTGTAGCCGTACCCTTGGCGGTGAGAGTGAGTGGCAAGCCTGAGATGGTGGGGATTGTGTAGTGTGTGTTGATGAGTTGGTATGACTTTGTGTAATCAACATTACCGGTGCGAGCAAGCTCCATCAACATCTCCAGTGGGTTGGAGAATCCTGATGTCTTCATAAGGCTTTCCAGACCATGGAAGCGTTTATAGTGCAGTTCGTTGCCAAAGACACGGAGGTAATACGAACCTTCTGGCTCATCGGTTACTTGGTCAAGGAATCCTTCTAAGGTGGTGGTTTCGGCGTCAGGTTTTTTCTGACGCATGGTTTTTAATATGCCCTCTATGGTCTCTTCAGGGAAATATCCAGAAGATCCGAAGAAACGTTCTACATATGCTTCAAATCCTTCAATCCGGCCACCAATCTCAAAAAGATTGATGGATTCGCCGAAGAGGTCAAGAGTAAGGTTAAGCATGGCAGAGCGTGGCAAGTAGGATTTGCTGGAGAAAATAACGTTGCTTTCTACAGCTGCGCCAACATTTAGTTCATTCATGAAGAAGGACGACTCGTAATTCCGGGAGAACTTGAGGGCTTCGGTGCTGAACTTCTTCTGTAGGAGCTCCTCCCCGATCAGCTCACGGACCCACTCCTTGTCGGGGCCGGCTGACTCTTGCAAGTTGACCATATGAGTCCAAATAAAGGACCCGACTTGGTTGACACCTTCTGAAATAAGGCGGTCCTTGATGGTGTTGATAATAGTAGGAGTGGGACACGTCATGACAGCAAGGTAAGCAGCAATTCGAACTTCGGTGTCTTGAGCCTCATCTTGGAAAGCGGCCAGTAGGTTGGAGCGGTCATAGTCACAAGGACTGTGTCTCCAGGCTCCTATCGCGGCTACTCGGACTTCCATGTCATTCTCCTCAGTGTAACACTGTCGCAGGACAGGACTAGCATTGACCCAACGGCCGGCGTTGCCCAGAGCCTTCAGTGCTACTAAGATCTTCATCTTCTCTTCTCCATTAACCGAGCGACAACCGGAGCCAAGGTGACTTTCTATGTGTCGAAGAACCTGCTGGACACCCCGGTCATTGCCACAGTCTGGCTGGATCTTGCAGTAAGTGTTCACGAGAGCTGAGGAACCCAGCATCGCTTGTTGGCTGGGATTATGCTGAAGAAGAGGCTGTAAGAAAAATAATGTTCTCCCCATTACTATTTCTTCCCATATTTTATTTATGAAATTTTAGCAAGTATTAACATCAATGAGTTATGACTCGTCGATGGAAGCTGCAAATATGCTAAATACGTTATATTTTGTTCTATGTACTATAGTTATATTTCATGCTAATGTTTTAACACAATTTTGTCATACAAAAAGAAAATACGTCGATTGAGCAGTCATAATAAAATAGCAACATTTAAAACGAAATATATCTGATGTATACTAACAGCAAGCGCAGTGAACATCTCAGAGGTTGGGTTCCTGAAGAAAGCAAGTGAGGTGAACCAGACATCTGCGTCAACGTCTGTCATGTCACCGTTGATGAACATGTCCCTCACCACTCCGACGGCGGCAGCTGTCCCTACCAGAGGCATGGCGTCAACCAGGAACTTGCGGGCATTAGGTTGCTTTGTGTTGGTGTAAACGGTGCTAAGGGCTGGGTACTCGAGGCTCTTGAGGGAGGCCACAAGGGTGGAGAAGAGAGCTGGCACCTCGGGCAGCACTTCGTCTTGTGTGCTTTCGTCGAGCTCCCTTAAAATCTTCTCAATAGTGTCAACCTGAGTCTCTGCATCGCCGCTGATAATCTCATCGAACACCAAAGATTTGCTGGTAAACTGGTAATCTGTGGAAGAGGAAAAGTGCATTAATCCTTGTTTACTTATTTTATTTCAGTCATATCAATAGACTAGCAGCCTGTCCATCTGTCAGTCGGCTCATCTGCCTTCATATTTCCAGGACGCTTCACTCCCAAGACTCAGCCCATAACAAAAATTTTCTAGATAACCTTCTAATTTTACCTTTCCTGTGTCTTAAAAGGGTCTTTCTCATATATAACCTAAAATTATCCCTTAGAGGATATTGGTTGCTTGTCTCTCACCTGCCTGAAAAAAAGAAGGGAGAGAGGGGGGGATATGACAAGAACGTATAAAATACTCAGGGGAATTGACAGAGTGGAAGTAGAAGAATTTTCAACACGGAATACTAACAGAGATGTTAGGAAGTTTTCTTTTAGTGTGAGAGTAGTGGAAAAATAGAATGCACTTAAGGAACAAGTTGTGGAAGCAAAAATTTTAAAACTAGATATGATAGGGAAATGGGACAGGAGTCATTGCTGTAAACATCCGATGCTCGAAAGGCGGGATCCAGGAGTCAATGCTCGATCCTGCAGACACAAATAGGCGAGTACAAATAGGTGAGTAGACACATTGTAGTGACAAGGTGTCACCTTAGCCAACGGCTCCGGTGAGAGGTGATGTGTGGTGTCAACAGGAGTTGGAAGTGTGATTGTGGCGACTTGAACTCCTGGACGCTCTGGTCGATCCTCCTTGTTCATGTCAAGGAGGGTCGACCTTGTTCATGTCAAGGAGGGTCGACCTTGTTCATGTCAAGGAGGGTCGACCTTGTTCATGTCAAGGAGGGTCGACCTTGTTCATGTCAAGGAGGGTCGACCTTGTTCATGTCAATGAGGGTCGACCTTGTTCATGTCAAGGAGGGTCGACCTTGTTCATGTCAAGGAGGGTCGACCTTGTTCATGTCAAGGAGGGTCGACCTTGTTCATGTCAAGGAGGGTCGACCTTGTTCATGTCAAGGAGGGTCGACCTTGTTCATGACTAGCACTTTGTGTTTTTGTCAACATGTCTCCTCTGCCATCATGCGTGACACCCTCTCTGGCAACCCTCATGACACTGTCATACGATTTGTGTGCAGTGAAGGTGGTTACAACGATGAAGGTAGTGTACAGAGATGGTATGACCACGGTCATCCCTGCCACTCTGGTACCCCCGCTAGTTGGTTCATAATTGACAAATATCAATCATATACTGGACAAACTACCAAGCAAAATCAAGCAAAAACACAAGCATTAATACTAATATAGTATTGCAGTTGTTTTTGTTTCCTTTACAAGTAAAGGAAATAATTGGTAACAAGGAAATCATAAGGAATTACTTGTTGGGGAGGTACATTATGTGTAAGACAGGGAGCAGGAGCGGTGAGTGAGTGGTGGGAGGCGTGCGGGGCCTTGTATATATCAACCTGTGGCGTTGAGAGCTTTACCACCACAAGGAAACATAAGTGGCCCTGAACTTCATGTTACTGGAGGAAAGTAAAATTAGAAGAGATATGCTTACTACATAAAGGATACTGAGGGTATTGTTAAGGGAACAATATAGAAACTAAAACACCCAAGTCAAAAGGACACGAGAAGGGTATTTTCAGTGCGCTGGATATGAAGAAGGGAACTGTGCTACGGAGAGAGGCAGGGAACCGCTTCGTATAGTGAATTCACCAATATATATCCTAGAACACAAGGGGTTAAGGAGCAAATACAACAATTCATTGACTGTTCAGCAGGACTAACGAGGATGTAAGGTAATTATCAAGAGAGAGCGCAAAACCATCGTTATCACACAGCATTTACGATATGAGGACAAATAGCTCGATTATAAGTACGAGGTGAAGGAACGGTGGCTAACAACTTGGATCATCGGGAATCGAACGCCGACCCAGAAAGACACAAGGCCATCGCTGTACCGACTAGTCTAGGTGGATGACTGCAGGATTAAGGAAGAACTGAATGTGATGTCTTTCTTACCAGCAAGTGGGAGGGCTGGAGTGTCCTGGGAGACCAGCATCATGGTGGTCTTGGCGAGGGTGACAGCGCCGCCCTCCTCGCTGGAGAAGGGACGGAACTTGTGGCTCTCCTCACACTCCGCCACCTTCAGCACTCCTTCTTCTATTCTCTGTCTGCAGGTGCTCGTGCTCTTGAAGACCGGCAGACTCTGCACGGGGGAGTCGGTGATGTAGCTACTGGAAGTTATGTACGACGACAGACTGGGTCTTCCGGTGCAAGAAGTGAGGTCCTTGGTCTTCTCTATGCTCACTACGTCACCCTCAGATACGCTTCTGTACGCAGTCGTACACACTCCAGAAATATCGGTCTCCTCCACCTGCTGTAGACACGATACAATGAGACCGCGATGATGCAAGGTATTAACTATGCTATGAAAAATTGATTATTAAGGGATCATTAACGTTGTTAGAAATTAATCGTAGGAGAGAGCTTACCTCTGTGCCTTTATTGGTGAAGGAGTTCTGGAAGGTGGAGAGAACGCCCCGCTTGAAGTTGAGGACCCAGGCGGGCTCCGACACCTGGCTGCAGAGGCGCTCCACGCGGCCATCTTGGAAGGAGAAGCGCAGAGGAGACTTGGTGATGGCGGCCACAAACTGCTCCTCGTGGGACGACCCGCCCAGAGAAACATCTGTCACCTGTAACACCACCAACGCTGCTACAACACTTGCTTCCCAACACCACCTCAGTCAACAACAATACCAAGAAGACTCGTTCTTCAAATTATATTGTCGTCGTTGAAACAATCTTGTATTATAATTTGTCGGGGGCAGACAGCCTGTGTATATATATATAATTTAGGCTTGTATGGAGGTCCCCAATGTGGAACTTCTGACCCTCCCCAGGATGCAACCGCCACAACAGTTGTCTAACTCCCGGGTAACTCCCTCTCGAATAGTACATCGAATTTTGACGTATAAATCTCCTAAGGCCAAAAACTGGTGTGCTAACAATCATAACGGCTCGTAAAATTGACGTGATGTCCCGTTTTCTATTTGTGGGTCCTCGGTTAGGTTACGTTAGGGCAATTTAGTACATCATTTTAATGGCGTTGTAAATGCTCGAGAGATTTTAAAAGCACTACAATCGCTGTCTGTGGTTGAGTGTTCAATAAATACCTGAACTATATGTTTAATAGATCTCTCACCCTGGCCATGGAGGATGAAAGAAAGAAAAAAAAATATATATATATATATATATATATATATATATATATATATATATATATATATATATATATATATATATATATATATATATATATATATATATATATATATATATATATATATATATATATATATATATATATATATGATGGTTAGCATTGTAAATGTGTGGCCACATCTGTGGTAGAAAATAATAATAATAATAATAATAATAACAAATCTGATTGGTGAACCTAGGTGATGGTTGAATACATAATACATTGAAGATTGGTGAATAGAGATTTGCATTGGGTATAAGAAAACATGCCCAACCATTTCTGTCCTGCTCGTACTCCACAATCAGTACCTAATTATAGCAGCTACATCGCCTATATCATATACCCTATAACTAGTTAGAGTAGCTGAAGCACAGTACTTGACTTGAGTCGCCCATCTGTATAAAAATTATCTGAATTATCTGAGCGGTTACACACCGAGACGAGTTACCCCTCCTGCATTTGAGCTTTATTAAAGAAAACGTACAGATTGAATAGTTTCAGTAGAGATAAACATTAAAAAATTCCGCTCTCCTATACTAATGTGATCAGCCTCGAGGTATGTTGTTGTTGTTAAAGATTTAGCTACTCAGGATGAAGTGTCCATGTAGCACGGGCTATGGTGAGCCCGTAATTGAGTTTGGTTATGCATGATAACCTTTTTCCTGTGATATTTGGGTCTAAATTGAGCCTCGAGGTATTGGGCCGTACTGTAATATACAAATAGGACAGGTGTATACAAGCAGGTGAAGTGTAGCGAGACTCACCCTGAGCGTGTACTCGCAGGGGGCGGAGACGTCGATGTGGGCCCTGGCGGTGATGTGGAGGTGGGCGTCATCCTCCAGGGCGCCCAGTAGCGCCGTCGACGTGGTCACAGAGTAGTCGTATATGTAGCTTTTGCCTGTCGTCCGCCGGGAGGGGGAGAGGGTTACTGTCCTGCTCACATGGTCCCTGTCACGGCTGTCATGTGGGTGTTGTATGTGTGTGTGTAGGGGGTGTTGTATGGTGTGTGTGTGTGTAGGGGGTGTTGTATGGTGTGTGTGTGTGTGTGTAGGTGTTGTATGGTGTGTGTGTGTGTGTGTGAGCGGGTGTTGTATGGTGAGTGTGTGTGTAGGAGGTGTTGTATGGTGTGTGTGTATAGTGTGTATTTACATATATCTATTGAATTAACATTCTAAATGTGACCATAAATATATCATGCCATTACAGCGCGGGCTGTCAGTCAGTGCAGCCCAAACAACAGTTCACTTTACCTGGTTGATATAAGTATAGGTTGGTATCGGTGCAGTGGAGGGCGCAGGAGGTCCGCTGGCCTGTAGGACCTGCACAACACAACAACAACATTACCCATCACTTCAACACCCAACTGAACATATTCATACAACACTAACAGACGACCCGGAGGGTGTCTCCCTTTTAACCCACTCACAAGTGCTAAGTTAGGATAGTTCTGTGTTACTAAGAGGATTACATTGGGAAATGATGTGATTAAAGAAGTTATATGTGATTAGTGCGATGGACGACTGTTAGCGTGATAGAACCTGGTGCACAGACTTGGGTTATAATAGTCAGTTTGGTCAAAGGTGTACTGCTTCTCACACAAGTCTTACAGAGGCTGGAGACCTGACACACTCTGCACTGACCCCCACACTACTATAGAGGAACCTCTCCTTGCAGGCGGAGCATTGTCAACACAATTGTTGCATGAATGACTCGAAGGGGTCGTTCATGCGGGTCTATGATAATGAGTGAGTGAGTGAGTGAGTGCAACTGATGTATATCTCGCCACTCAGTACAAACCACTCTACTGCTGTAGCAGCAGTAGAGTGGTTTCCTACGTCATATTGTAACATTATTGGTTACTGTTGAACAATGTTAAAATCGTATTTCCCCCTAAAATAAATATACATGTATATACATTATGTTTACATATGTGTACACGCACCTCGAATAATGTATAATGCCTTATAAGAATAAGAAAAATATTATATAACTAAACATATTAGCAATAAGATAATTATCAGGATAAAGCGCCAAGCCATTACGGCTATATAGCATTTGGATGGGACATGAGGATAGGGAAATGGGAATGGACGGAAGAAAGGAAAGGTGCCCAACAACTTGGACGGTCGGGGATTGAACGCCGACCTGTAAAAAGCAAGACTGAGAATACATATGTGTGTGTGTGTGTGTATATATATTTAATAATAATAATATATGTGTGTGTGTGTATGTGCATACAGGATATGTGGAAGTTGGTCAGATTTGCATTTCACCTTTGTAAACGCATATTAAATGACACTGTAAAAGACACCTCGAACATTGTTTATGGAAAACATACGTAAGTATGTGTATTTATGTATGTAGGTTAGATTAGAATTTTAAAAGCACTACAATCACCTTCTGTGGTTGAGTGTTCAATGAACCCCTGAACTATATGTTTAACACATCTCTAACCCTGTCCATGGAGGACAGAAGCAAATGTATATATGCTGGTTAGCATTGTAAATGTCTGGCCACGTCTGTGGTAGAAAAACACTGTGGCTGTGAGGAGGGTTGGTAACCCTGTCACTATGGGTGGTGGGAGGTTGGTAAGCCTGTCACTATGGGTGCTGGAGGTTGGTAAACCTGTCACTATGGGTGGTGGAGGTTGGTAAGCCTGTCACTATGGGTGCTGGAGGTTGGTAACCCTGTCACTATGGGTGGTGGAGGTTGGTAAGCCTGTCACTATGGGTGGTGGAGGTTGGTAAGCCTGTCACTATGGGTGCTGGAGGTTGGTAACCCTGTCACTATGGGTACTGGAGGTTGGTAAGCCTGTCACTATGGGTGCTGGAGGTTGGTAACCCTGTCACTATGGGTGCTGGAGGTTGGTAAGCCTGTCACTATGGGTGGTGGAGGTTGGTAAGCCTGTCACTATGGGTGGTGGGAGGTTGGTAAGCCTGTCACTATGGGTGGTGGAGGTTGGTAAGCCTGTCACTATGGGTGCTGGAGGTTGGTAAGCCTGTCACTATGGGTGCTGGAGGTTGGTAAGCCTGTCACTATGGGTGGTGGAGGTTGGTAAGCCTGTCACTATGGGTGGTGGGAGGTTGGTAAGCCTGTCACTATGGGTGGTGGGAGGTTGGTAAGCCTGTCACTATGGGTGGTGGGAGGTTGGTAAGCCTGTCACTATGGGTGGTGGAGGATGGTAAGCCTGTCACTATGGGTGGTGGAGGTTGGTAAGCCTGTCACTATGGGTGGTGGAGGATGGTAAGCCTGTCACTATGGGTGGTGGGAGGTTGGTAAGCCTGTCACTATGGGTGGTGGGAGGTTGGTAAGCCTGTCACTATGGGTGGTGGGAGGTTGGTAAGCCTGTCACTATGGGTGGTGGGAGGTTGGTAAGCCTGTCACTATGGGTGGTGGGAGGTTGGTAAGCCTGTCACTATGGGTGGTGGAGGATGGTAAGCCTGTCACTATGGGTGGTGGAGGTTGGTAAGCCTGTCACTATGGGTGGTGGGAGGTTGGTAAGCCTGTCACTATGGGTGGTGGGAGGATGGTAAGCCTGTCACTATGGGTGGTGGGAGGTTGGTAAGCCTGTCACTATGGGTGGTGGGAGGTTGGTAAGCCTGTCACTATGGGTGGTGGAGGATGGTAAGCCTGTCACTATGGGTGGTGGAGGTTGGTAAGCCTGTCACTATGAGTGGTGGAGGTTGGTAAGCCTGTCACTATGGGTGGTGGAGGATGGTAAGCCTGTCACTATGGGTGGTGGGAGGTTGGTAAGCCTGTCACTATGGGTGGTGGGAGGTTGGTAAGCCTGTCACTATGGGTGGTGGAGGATGGTAAGCCTGTCACTATGGGTGGTGGGAGGTTGGTAAGCCTGTCACTATGGGTGGTAAGTGTTATACTTGAGGCATATCATCTTCAGTGATAATGTGGTGTTGTTATCTTAAGGAGCTGTGGAAGCGCTGAGTCAATCAGTACAATACTTGTACACCTCCATGATCTGTTGATGACTTTTATCTCTTTGTTCTACACGCTCTGTTAAGGGTATACTGATGTTATGTCTTGTTCTTCACGCTCTGTTAAGGGTATATTGATGTTATGTCTTGTTCTTCACGCTCTGTTAAGGGTATACTGATGTTATGTCTTGTTCTTCGCGCTTTGTTAAGGGTATATTGATGTTATGTCTTGTTCTTCACGCTCTGTTAAGGGTATATTGATGTTATGTCTTGTTCTACACGCTTTGTTAAGGATATATTGATGTTATGTCTTGTTCTTCACGCTTTGTTAAGGGTATATTGATGTTCTGTCTTGTTCTTCACGCTCTGTTAAGGGTATATTGATGTTCTGTCTTGTTCTTCACGCTTTGTTAAGGGGTATATTGCTGGGTATTATGAAGCAGGGGGATTCGTACTACCATCTTCTGGTAGGTGAGAGTCACTCAGATATTAGCTACTCTTTCACCGTCGTCCCAACGGGGGTACAGACCCCACCACCGTGTCCCAACGGGGGTACAGACCCCACCACCGTGTCTCAGCCGGGGTACAGACCCCACCACCGTGTCTCAGCCGGGGTACAGACCCCACCACCGTGTCTCAACGGGGGTACAGACCCCACCTCAGTCTTGACAGCGATAACAGTATTCCGGGCCAACAACACTACGCCAACAGCCAGACAAACAAGATAGTGATGTGATAATCAATTGGCCCACCATGATACAGGGGTCAAGTGGGCACCAGCTGGGCCGGACACATAACCAATCACAAGACACAAGGACCTGTGACCCCGACCGTGACGACATGGTGAGGAGTTTACCAAACAGTTGACGACCTCCGGAGTACCAGGAGGTGGTCGGGAACACAAAGCTGAGGTTGGGGAGCTTCTCACGGGGACTAGGAGCTCTTAACTTATCATGTGCATGCTGACTATCCCGCCGTGATAAAAGATACATATCGTGTAAGTGGACACCTAAGTGCTCCATATGTATCCGGCCCTAACCTTCTCTCACCATGACTCTAACCTTACCTCACCCAGGATCTTGCTAGCCTCGACGGAACACCTTGCCCTCTCTAACTTTTGTCTCCCCAGTCTTCCACGTAATGCTACTATAACACTCCCTCCTTAAATACTCTTAACTAAAAAATACTATAATTTAACTTCAAAATAGATGGCGATAGACTATTACTAACTCGGTGGGCGCTAGAGGGCGATAGACCATGACATGTGGGCCGGACACGTGGTCCAGCTCACCGTGGGCTGGCCACGTCTGTGGCCACATGTTAAACTGTCGCCCCAGTTTAAGGAGGAGCCTGGAGCGCAGGAGCTGTACAGGCCGGGCTACTCGTCCACCATAACCTGAAGCAGCGACTGTGACTGAGAGAAGGGCCAGGGGGCAGCTGGAGACAGACGCAAGGTCAACCTGGTTATGTGAGGGGGGCACTCAGGGGGGCCACTCAGGGGGGGCACTCAGGGGGGCCACTCAGAAGTGTTCTCTAACCCTTATTATCTTATCCAACTGCCCAGTGAACTCACAAGTCACCCATGTGCCACTTGATCAACCACGACCGCCACCATTATGTGATATCGCAGTTGTAACATTATGTGATATTTCAACTTGTTCTACAATGTTTATGATGTAGACCTGAGCACTGGAGATATCTTAAGATGGACTATTATGAGTGGTATTCACCATTAACCCCACATGGGACTCACATGTGGCCCTCAACAGTGACAAGTCACATATAAGACGTAGTGAGGTGATGCAGTCTAGTGCACGCCAGTCAGTGGTCAGGTCTACTTGTTGATCAAGTGCATAATGGATTCACCGAATGTGTTATGTTATCTTATTATTTTCACAGTACTTATTTGACAGTGTTAGTGTGACGATGTTAGTGTGACGGTGTTAGTGTGACTGTTAGTGTGACTGTTAGTGTGACAGTGTTAGTGTGACGATGTTAGTGTGACAGTGTTAATGTGACGATGTTAGTGTGACTGTTAGTGTGACGGTGTTATTGTGACGATGTTAGTGTGACGATGTTAGTGTGACGGTGTTAGTGTGACAGTGTTAGTGTGACGATGTTAGTGTGACTGTTAGTGTGACGGTGTTAGCGTGACAGTGTTAGTGTGACGATGTTAGTGTGACAGTGTTAATGTGACGATGTTAGTGTGACTGTTAGTGTGACGGTGTTAGTGTGGCTGTTAGTGTGACGGTGTTACTGTGACTGTTAGTGTGACGGTGTTAGTGTGACAGTGTAAGTGACGGTGTTACTGTGACTGTTAGTGTGACGATGTTAGTGTGACTGTTAGTGTGACGGTGTTAGTGTGACGGTGTTAGCGTGACAGTGTTAGCGTGACAGTGTTAGCGTGACGGTGTTAGTGTGACGGTATTAGTGTGACAGTGTTAGTGTGACGGTATTAGCGTGACGGTATTAGCGTGACAGTGTTAGCGTGACGGTATTAGCGTGACAGTGTTAGCGTGACGGTGTTAGCGTGACGGTGTTAGCGTGACGGTGTTAGCGTGACAGTGTTAGCGTGACGGTGTTAGTGTGACGGTGTTAGTGTGACGGTATTAGTGTGACGGTATTAGCGTGACGGTATTAGCGTGACGGTGTTAGCGTGACGGTGTTAGCGTGACGGTGTTAGCGTGACGGTGTTAGCGTGACAGTGTTAGCGTGACAGTGTTAGCGTGACAGTGTTAGCGTGACAGTGTTAGCGTGACGGTGTTAGTGTGACGGTATTAGTGTGACAGTGTTAGTGTGACGGTATTAGCGTGACAGTGTTAGCGTGACAGTGTTAGCTGGACAGTGTTAGCGTGACGGTGTTAGTGTGACGGTATTAGTGTGACAGTGTTAGTATGACGGTATTAGCGTGACAGTGTTAGCGTGACAGTGTTAGCGTGACGGTGTTAGCGTGACGATGTTAGCGTGACGGTGTTAGCGTGACAGTGTCAGCGTGACAGTGTCAGCGTGACAGTGTTAGCGTGACAGTGTCAGCGTGACAGTGTCAGCGTGACAGTGTTAGCGTGACAGTGTTAGCGTGACAGTGTCAGCGTGACAGTGTCAGCGTGACAGTGTTAGCGTGACAGTGTTAGCGTGACAGTGTCAGCGTGACAGTGTTAGCGTGACGGTGTTAGCGTGACAGTGTCAGCGTGACAGTGTCAGCGTGACAGTGTTAGTGTGACGGTGTTAGCGTGATAACTAAGGCTGTGGGCCAGGAAGAGTATTATTGCCAGTTTGTGTATATTAGTAATTTCCTGATATTGGACGCTCAATGGACCCTTTACCATGGGTGACATCATCACTTGCCAGGCACCGTGCTGTGTACACCCAGCCCTGAGTGTACCCCAGCCCTGAGTGTACCCCAGCCCTGAGTGTACCCCAGCCCTGAGTGTACCCCAGCCCTGAGTGTACCCCAGCCCTGAGTGTACCCCCAGCCCTGAGTGTACCCCAGCCCTGAGTGTACCCCCAGCCCTGAGTGTACCCCCAGCCCTGAGTGTACCCCCAGCCCTGAGTGTACCCCCAGCCCTGAGTGTACCCCCAGCCCTGAGTGTACCCCCAGCCCTGAGTGTACCCCAGCCCTGAGTGTACCCCCAGCCCTGAGTGTACCCCCAGCCCTGAGTGTACCCCCAGCCTTGAGTGTACCCCCAGCCCTGAGTGTACCCCCAGCCCTGAGTGTACCCCAGCCCTGAGTGTACCCCCAGCCCTGAGTGTACCCCCCAGCCCTGAGTGTACCCCAGCCCTGAGTGTACCCCCAGCCCTGAGTGTACCCCAGCCCTGAGTGTACCCCCAGCCCTGAGTGTGAGGTGAGGCGGGGAGCGGTGTCAACCACCCCCCATCACAACCACAGGTAACAACAGCTCCTGACACACGTTAATGGACCAACTTGACAGGATGGGTGTCAGGAGATATATATATACACAAGTACGTGTAGGTACACTAGGGAGGGCCTGAGAGACCTAAGAGGGTTGTAATACAAGGGAGAGGAGGAGGTGGAGGCCGGCTGGACCAGCCCCCTCACACCGCCTGACACTTCCTCATTAACTTGGCTACCCTCACTACCCCTGATGCTCCCTCACACTCTCCTTCTTACCATACGCCACCCGCTTCTCTCTTATTTTATATATATATATATATATATATATATATATATATATATATATATATATATATATATATATATATATATATATATATATATTTGGTGTTTGTGTGTGTGGACACAACTGCCACACAAGGGGGTGGAGGCTCACACAAGGGGGTGGAGGCTCACACAAGGGGGTGGAGGCTCACACAAGGGGGTGGAGGCTCACACAAGGGATGGAGGCTCACACAAGGGGGTGGAGGCTCACACAAGGGGGTGGAGGCTCACACAAGGGGTGGAGGCTCACACAAAGGGGTGGAGGCTCACACAAGGGGGTGGAGGCTCACACAAGGGGGTGGAGGCTCACACAAGGGGGTGGAGGCTCACACAAGGGGGTGGAGGCTCACACAAGGGGGTGGAGGCTCACACAAGGGGGTGGAGGCTCACACAAGGGGGTGGAGGCTCACACAAGGGGGTGGAGGCTCACACAAGGGGGTGGAGGCTCACACAAGGGGGTGGAGGCTCACACAAGGGGGTGGAGGCTCACACAAGGGGGTGGAGGCTCACACAAGGGGGTGGAGGCTCACACAAGGGGGTGGAGGCTCACACAAGGGGTGGAGGCTCACACAAGGGGTGGAGGCTCACACAAGGGGGTGGAGGCTCACACAAGGGGGTGGAGGCTCACACAAGGGGGTGGAGGCTCACACAAGGGGGTGGAGGCTCACACAAGGGGGTGGAGGCTCACACAAGGGGGTGGAGGCTCACACAAGGGGGTGGAGGCTCACACAAGGGGGTGGAGGCTCACACAAGGGGGTGGAGGCTCACACAAGGGGGTGGAGGCTCACACAAGGGGGTGGAGGCTCACACAAGGGGGTGGAGGCTACGGCCCTTCACCTAGTCTCTATACATGACGAGAATCACATAATCTCTCCAAAGCTTATTATCGCTGGTAGTCAGTTTTCACACCTTCCTTGACATCTGAATGTCAAGCTGTTGACAGCATATGTAAGTCGTCTTCGAATGACGCACATATGTGTCTGTTAAGAGAACACATGTGGTTTATACAGCCACATGTGTGATGACAGATGCTCTGAAGCAGAGTTGGGAACTTCCAGACATTTACAATACTCAGTGCCACTTTAGATAGCAATTTAAACTAGTAAGCACTTGTATAATGAGCATTATCATTATAATACCTGGAGGGTGACGTGGGGGGGGCAGTAACACCTGGAGGGTGACGTGGGGGGCAGTAACACCTGGAGGGTGACGTGGGGGGCAGTAACACCTGGAGGGTGACGTGGGGGGGGGGGCAGTAACACCTGGAGGGTGACGTGGGGGAGCAGTAACACCTGGAGGGTGACGTGGGGGGGGCAGTAACACCTGGAGGGTGACGTGGGGGGCAGTAACACCTGGAGGGTGACGTGGGGGGGGCAGTAACACCTGGAGGGTGACGTGGGGGAGCAGTAACACCTGGAGGGTGACGTGGGGGGGGCAGTAACACCTGGAGGGTGACGTGGGGGGCAGTAACACCTGGAGGGTGACGTGGGGGGGGCAGTAACACCTGGAGGGTGACGTGGGGGAGCAGTAACACCTGGAGGGTGACGTGGGGGGGGCAGTAACACCTGGAGGGTGCCGTGGGGGGCAGTGACACCTTGAGGGTGACGTGGGGGGCAGTAACACCTGGAGGGTGACGTGGGGGGCAGTAACACCTTGAGGGTGACGTGGGGGGCAGTAACACCTGGAGGGTGACGTGGGGGGCAGTAACACCTTGAGGGTGACGTGGGGGGGCAGTAACAGCTGGAGGGTGACGTGGGGGGCAGTAACACCTGGAGGGTGACGTGGGGGGCAGTAACACCTTGAGGGTGACGTGGGGGGCAGTAACACCTGGAGGGTGACGTGGGGGGCAGTAACACCTTGAGGGTGACGTGGGGGGGCAGTAACAGCTGGAGGGTGACGTGGGGGGGGGGGCAGTAACACCTGGAGGGTGACGTGGGGGGGGGGGGCAGTAACACCTGGAGGGTGACGTGGGGGGCAGTAACACCTTGAGGGTGACGTGGGGGGCAGTAACACCTGGAGGGTGACGTGGGGGGCAGTAACACCTTGAGGGTGACGTGGGGGGCAGTAACAGCTGGAGGGTGACGTGGGGGGGGGGCAGTAACACCTGGAGGGTGACGTGGGGGGGGCAGTAACACCTGGAGGGTGACGTGGGGGGGCAGTAACACCTGGAGGGTGACGTGGGGGGGGCAGTAACACCTGGAGGGTGACGTGGGGGGCAGTAACACCTGGAGGGTGACGTGGGGGGCAGTAACACTTGGAGGGTGACGTGGGGGGGGGCAGTAACACCTGGAGGGTGACGTGGGGGGGGCAGTAACACCTGGAGGGTGACGTGGGGGGGCAGTAACACCTGGAGGGTGACGTGGGGGGGCAGTAACACTTGGAGGGTGACGTGGGGGGACAGTAACACCTGGAGGGTGACGTGGGGGGGGCAGTAACACCTGGAGGAGGGGGGGGGGAGGAGGGGTTGGTGTGCAGAAGTGGCAGAAGAATATGTCCCATGATAATGTTCACCAACACTACACTGGCGTTCCTTTACTTCATTTCAGATTTAAACACTGTGGCAAGCGTGCGTTATAAAGTGATCCAGCACCCGTAGCACTTGCGAAACACTGCACCACTGTCACACTTAAAGTTGCACCAAGCGCGAGAGCACTTGTAAGGCCAGGTAAGCCACCGGGAGCTGTCACACTATGGAGGAGGGTGAGGGGGGATTTACCTGCTAAGGCGGAGGCTGCCACAAGGGCGAGGATGAGAGCGGTACGCATCTCGGCGACTCACACTGTCCTGGGACAGGTCTAGTCGGAGTTCCACTGGCTGCCCTCCGCGCTGCCCACCTGGTTATATACCCCAAGTACACCGGCCTGGAGTCCACAGTCCAGTGCCTTCAAGGGTGCCACTAGGCTCACGCCTCATCGCATCGTTCACGGCCCTTTATCTTGCGTTCACTCCTACCCTCCTCCTGTGGGACTGATCTTATTTATGACTTACGGAAACGTGTGCAATTTTGTGGAAAAGGGTTCGCCAGGTGACAATCAGCTGTCAAGTGACAAATACGTCAATGATTGGTGGTGGCCGCTGCCGCAGCGTACACCTCGCTCCCTGGGGCATATGTCTACATCAGCACACTCTTTTTAATCACTGTTTTGATGACTTAAGCTGATTAATTTATAACTTTGACCTGCCCAGCGGGGCACCCGCATCTCACCGGAAGGTAAGCCGGGCATGGCCAGTGAGCCCACTACCCAATGTTTAACTCTTTCACTTGCAATGTTCATACTTAATAATAAGACTGCACAAATAGCGCCGTTGGCGTCATCATGTCTGTGTTTTAGTTTTATGCCGCATAATGCGTCATCAGGACGCGATAGTGTCTATTAACAATTGCAAAAATCGCCGCCATGTGTTTGAGATGAAGGTCTGTCCAGTTGCCAGGGCCAGAACACGCATGTTGATGTACCTGATAACATTTGTAGTGTTAAGTAATGTACACACGGAACGCCATAACGACTACATATATCTAGAGGAGAACCTGTTGACTCGCTGCTGTGTAATGGTAACACTGGTGTAGTGTTCATTCATTGTCTTCCTTGCCATTTGTCGCTACTAATAGCTTGCTTGGTCTCGTCTGTCGAGGCTCCTACCCGTCTTTGGCGTTGACTTCTTGGATAGGCGTAAAAATATTTCGAATCTTTCTTAATTTTTTGGATTTTTTTCCATATTTTTGTTTTGTTTTTATTGATCAGATTCCTGAGAGGGCGAGTATAATGCAGGCTTCCACACATCGCACAATGTGGTTGATTAATGGTTGACTGAGACTTCTGCCAGAGGTTGAAGTACCAGTATTAGTTGTTAGTTATTAATTATATCTTACTTATAGTTTATTATAATTAGTTATTATTACTTAATAGTTTCCTTTTGACTGATTTTTGTCATCATAGCTCGCTTTTGTTTAATTCTCCTCTATACACATTTCTGAGGCGGTATAGTGACCAAACATATTGAACTATACAGAGCATAAGGATCCCATGTGTACAGTCCTGTTTCACTAATTGTATTACTTGGACGGGCACCACTTGGGCTGGACGGTAGAGAGTCAGTCTTGCTTCATGCAGGTCGGCGTTTAATCCCCGACCGTCCAAGTGGTTGGGAACCATTTCTTCCCCTCCCCCCCCCCCGTCCCATCCCAAATCCTCATCCCCTGGTATATCTTCCCAGTGCTATATAGTCGTAATGACTTAGTGTTCTATAATTCCCTCACCCTGCTCTCCTCTCCTATAGTGGTCACCTCACACTTGGGTCAGTGTTTACCTTAGCACAGCCGTCTTTAGAACCTTTGACTTTGCATAATATCTACTGTTATCATTTTGTCGTGTAATCATAATTTTAGAGACACGTACTTGTGAAGGAGTCTACTTGTGAGCGTATCTGTTGACCAGGTGGAGGGAGCCGGATGACATCGTCCGGCTCCAATAAGTCTGATGCCCGACAACTGTCGTCAAGTTATCAGCCACCAGAGAGGCACAGACACACAGTGTGAGACACACAGACAGTGTGAGACACACAGACAGTGTGAGACACACAGACAGTGTGAGACACACAGACAGTGTGAGACACACAGACAGTGTGAGACACACAGACAGTGTGAGACACACAGACAGTGTGAGACACACAGACAGTGTGAGACACACAGACAGTGTGAGACACACAGACAGTGTGAGACACACAGACAGTGTGAGACACACAGACAGTGTGAGACACACAGACAGTGTGAGACACACAGACAGTGTGAGACACACAGACAGTGTGAGACACACAGACAGTGTGAGACACACAGACAGTGTGAGACACACAGACAGTGTGAGACACACAGACAGTGTGAGACACACAGACAGTGTGTGACACACAGACAGTGTGTGACACACAGACAGTGTGAGACACACAGACATACTGTAGATGGATGTATAGTGTGTAGTGTGAGAACAGTGTGTAGCGTGAGGACAGTGTGTAGTGTGAGAATAAATAAATAAATAAATAAATCAGTGACTAGTAGCCTAAACCGTTCACGTCACAGCGACAGATGTCACTGACCCACCTGTAAACCCAGAACTATTCTCGACAGTAATAATTGACCACATTCAGTCTTCATAGCATCTCATCGCATTGATTATACCTTAGGAAGTCTTCCAGAGAAGACAGCATTTATACCAAGTCGTCTGGATTAAGATTTAGTAATCCATTTAACGTGATACACCTGCAGCGTTGTGTCAGTTTTGCTTGGTCTGCTTCTACTTATTGTTTCTGCCCACAAGCATCTTAGAGACAGTTTGAAGAAGCAGCTTAGCACAAGCAAAATTGAACTTTGCAATAGCCTGTAAGTGAACATTTACCAGAAGACTATTACTTATCTTGAGGTTATCTTGAGATGACTTCGGGGCTTTTTAGTGTCCCCGAGGCCCAGTCCTCGACCAGGCCTCCACCCCCAGGAAGCAGCCCGTGACAGCTGACCAAGACCCAGGTACCTATTTTACTGCTAGGTAACAGGGGCATAGGGTGAAAGAAACTCTGCCCATTGTTTCTCGCTTGCGCCCGGGATCGAACCCGAGACCACAGGATCACAAGTCCAGCGTGCTGTCCGCTCGGCCGACCGGCTCCCCAAATAGTACTCCCCTAAATAGTACTGAAACAAATTGTTTCTCACAATAGAATAAACTCATCTCATCTTTTAAGTTATCATGTGCTTAATTATAGCTCCAGAGAGTTATAGTACTGTAACTTAATGTATATAAACCAAGTCAGTTTATTTCTCATTCAGAATCTTAGGTTGCTATATGTGTTTAGTTATACTCCAGAGGGTTATAGCACTGTAGCCCAATGTATATAATCCACATTTACCCTTTACTTAGGTAGATTAGGGATATTAGTTAGGGTCAGCTGAGTGCAAGTTAAATCTGTACTCACTAAAGCATACCACTGACTGCATTTATAGAGACTGATACTCATATACTCAGTTCTCTACTTTATCTAGAATTTAGCTAGGTTAGGAACTTAGTTGTTATTATTATTGCATAGCCTAAAATACTTGTTCAACAAGAACTGCACTTTAGGCTAAATTTAATTTTGCATAAACACATAGAATTCCTCGTTTGATGTTGAGGTGATTTATGAGTCTGTAGTGATCAGTTAGTGTCTAGTAACTCATCTAGTTACAAGTCACCGCGACCCTAGACATTGATCTCACTGTAGATTCAGTATCTCCTTGATCTCAAAAGAGATATATAGGATAATATATTAATCATTACATAGATGTACCCGTGACAACAGAGTACACTTGTCACAGATTCGGTACATTCGTCATGTAAATACTAACCTACTAACATATAAGAATGTAACTTCAGGGAAAGGAAACAGGTACGTTAGAACTTAACAATGAACTACGACCCGGAATTTCCCGCCCCGGAGTTATGTTGGAAATTTCCAATTATTCTCATCCCTAATACAATAGGATGTATTTCCTGTATTAGGCTTCATTATTATTTAATACTCATTTACTAATCCTTAGTACAATGGGATGTATTTCCTGTACTAAGCATAATAATTAACTAACACTACTAATTCGTGGATTAGTATCATAGAATTCATTGCATTAGGATGTGGAACATCATGTAATTTCTCCTAGTATTGTGCTGTGTTGCGTCAGCCAACCACGGAGAATAAACTTTTCCTTGTTCAGTTGTTAATTTGAGCTCAGATAATAACTAATATAGGTGCCATGTCGTAACGCTGCAGGCGATAAACATAAACCCCTTGTAAGTGCTGTTTACTCCCCCTCCAATTATTTAGATATTGCATTTATGTGTGTGAATACTAATTTGGAGTGGAAATTATGGAATTTAATTATTGCAGCATGTTGCAACACCACTGAGGAAGCGTGTGACCGCCACATTCTCACGTGTTCCAAGGATCACTATCTCAAGCTGTTTCCAGACTGTTGTAGAGATTGGACTCCACCTACGTCCCTCTGTCACAGCTGAGATTTAATCAGTTTTCATTGTAGATAGAATTTAATTATTGAGAGTCAAGCATTTCTAATCATTGCATAATAATCATATACATAATTTGAATTTTAATATGCAGTAGTATTTTTGCATTACATTTTATTTATCATTATCTATGTGTGTGCATATTATCATTATTATTATTACATACAATATGTTACACATGGACTAACCTCATAGAAGACCCCCCCCCCAAAATGTGTCATGGGAAGCTGGTTCTAGCATTCATACAATTTACAGTCCTTGCTTAATAGAATATAATTACATGTAATCATAGAGAGCCATAAGTCACTGGTTCTCTCATTTAACAATGCATTCTGGTCCTTCGAGCTATCTTAGATTTACTTATTGTTTTGCATTTATAGAATTATACATTTTATTAGTATTAAACTAGAGCCAGATTTCCCCACATATGGCGTGAGGACAGTGTGTTCAGTGTGAAGACAGTGTGTAGCGTGAGGACAGTGTAACGCGAGGACAGTGTAGCGTGAGGACAGTGTAACGCGAGGACAGTGTAGCGTGAGGACAGTGTAGCGTGAGGACAGTGTAGCGTGAGGACAGTGTAGCGTGAGTGTTGACGGCATGATTACAGGTAGTGAGGACAGTGGAGGCAACAAACAGTCAGTATCACCACTATCGCCCTACTTGTGGCTCTCCTGCCTTAGTCCTCGTTATATCTGTGATAAGAAAACCTTATAAAAGTGTTTTGTCAAGATAACTATATTTAGTAAGATTAATAATACTTATTAATATAATTATGATGATGAGGAAGAGCAGCTGTGCGAGCACCGTCCCTTGTGGAACTG